GGCCCGGCCTGGCGGGCGTTTGGGCCCCTTGATAACCCGTTCCTGGTCTCTCGGGGCCGCAGAGGGTCAAATTACCCGATTAGAGGAAAGGGGGTTGAGGAGGTCTTAGGCGTTTGGTCCCTCCACCTCCAGAGCGGTGGAGAGTTGAGTGAGTCGTTCAAGGCAGAGAAAAAGGGGTTCGAGGAGGCCCGGGGCATTTGGCACCTAACCCCTAGAGTGGTTTGGCGTGGATCCCGAGGGAATGCCAAGACCGTGGTCACAAAAAGAAACCCCGGTCAGTCCTACACTGTCGTGCTTAGTGTCCCCTTGAGGCCTTACCCAGTTTTACGGATGACAGTTCCTAACTTTTGTAAGTTTTGTCGCTGGGCACTGTAGGAAGAATCGTAGATGCCTGATCTCAAAGATGATACAGAGTTAGCCATTTCTCTGCTTTTTCACGTGAAGAAAGTACAACGTAGAGAACTTGAGCTTGCATAGCTACTGGTGAAAATGGTTACCATTCTTGCCACAGGCGTGTCAGAAAGATTTTTGAGGACTCTAGGCAGTTTTAGAATAATCAAAACTGTTTATTTTTCCTTAAAGAAAACTGCTTTCCTTTGAGGGTGTGTTCCATAGAAGCTTCTGAATTTTAGAAGGCGTTACCCTGGGGGGGGGGGGACATATAAGCAAGAGGAGCCTGGGGCTTGACTGTTCTATACTTGCTACTGTAGGGGGCAGGCTTTATGTCCTTGGGCACAGCAGTTTGTCCCAGTAATCAGAAAATTTACTGGATGGAGGGGCACGTTAGTGTTTGAGTCACTTCTGAACTTCAGAAGTAGTAAGATGGCAACAAGATAGATTTTTTTAAAAAAAAAAATGTCATTGGGATCTCGCCAGCAGTTCTAGGAACGAATTCATGTTCATTTCTACCTTATTAGTGAAAAACAGTACCACAGTTGACACTGTGGATGTGTGGATGAGGTTTTCTCTTGGGACAGGAAATAACTGTGATGTTTGTGTATTAACCTGAGATCACTACACCAGTGGGGGACAGCTTTCTCAAAGACTACAGGGAGTTTGCAGTCAGTAGGGAATACTAGAAGTGAGTCAAGGCCATCATGGCAGATGTTAAGGATATTCAGTGTTAGATTTTAGGTTTCTGGGAGCTGTGTTTCCAGCCCCATCAGAGGGCATATTACCAAGTATATTTGTGCTGGGACTTATGAGGTGTCCCCTTTGGCCTAAAGAAGGTGGCCAAAACATCTGGAACTGACAGAATGTTCCAGCTTTCTTCTCCAAGTGTCTTTGCTCATTGGCCCCTCTGTGCAAGAAACAAAGATCCTTAAGTAGCATTTGTATGTCAGGTACTATTTTAGGTGCTTCTGGGAATATATACTAGTGTTTTACTGAAACTAAGCACCGGTCCTTTATAGAAATTGCTGGTTTATATGGCCTGTAGATAGAAGGCAGTAAATGCAGATTTATTGAAAGATCTTTCCTTTCAGGCTGTCAGTGAAAGCATGGTGTATTTACCATCTTGTTAAAGTTAACTATACCTGGGCTATAGTAGATGTTCTGTAAATATTTCTTAAAGGCAGAGAACCAATTTGGCCAACAAGTGAAGAGTTAATTCTATAGAGGTTTCAGGTCATTACACTTCTTATGAGAACTCCACTAAAAAACTGTGTGTGCTCTTTGTATTAAGATAAGCATGGCATCTAGATTGTGGTGTGCAGTTCACACTGTTCTACCTTGACCTTGTAGTGTTGTGTTTAGGTTACTGCCCCATTTCATTAAAGAGTTACTAGTAAAAATGTAATCTTCTCACAGGATAGTGAAGGGGAGTTATTCACTTAAGGGATGGTTAGATGAAAAAACTGGAGTATTTATGTGAGGAATATTGGGAAATTTATATTTAATAGTCATGACGTAAGTTAGGATTGATTAAAAACTTCCCAAGTTGAATAGTTTGGTGATTTGGTGAGTGAGGGCTTTTCCACATTAAAGGGACAGGGCAAAAATAATTGCAAGAGAAGTGTGATGTTGGAGATTCCGTAAGTTGTAGAGAAGGAAACAGAAAGCTGCCAGTAGTGAAAGTTCAAGATTGAAAGCAAAATGGCCAGCAGGAGGTTTAGGACAGCTTAAATGGCTCTCAGTGGTCATTGACTTGGAACAGATGAAAGAGCTGATGGGAAGAACGTTCTGTGTGGATAGATAAGCATGTTCAGGGACTACTGGGCCTTGAGAAAAAGGGATGTTAACCCATTATATGATCCTAAATATGCACTTCTACAGTAGTGATTTGAGTTATTAAAGGTCTTAGCGTTTAGAGTTTAAGTTTATAAAGACATACTGAATACCTGAAGTTAGGTAGTAAGAGGAAAATAAAACCCAAGAAAGGAAAATTCTGTAGCAAACTAGTATTAAGTAGCTAATTCGGTCACTTTTAAGTTTTTTAATTATGTGGTACCCGGTATTTATTGAACCCAAAGCCTTATGTGTGCTAGGCAAGCACTTTGCCAGTGATCTGTATCCCTTTTTCTGTCTTTTGAGACAATCACCAGTAGCTTGGACTGATCTTGAATAACTTTGCAGTTGAGGCAGCCTTGAGATCCTGATCTTGCCCACCCTGCACCTAGTTCTCTTTCTTCTTTTTAAAGTAAAGAATGCATAGCTGGGGAGATGTCTCAGCTGTTAGGAGCATGTACGACTCTTGCAGAGGACCCGAGTTCAGTTTCCAGTACCCATACCAGGGGGCTCACACCACTTATGGTTCAGGTCCTGGCAATCCCCAACAATCTGACTTTCTGAAGCATCAGCACACAATTAAAAATAAAACAAATCTTATACACACCTACTCTGATTGGTGGGAATGTGGGTTGGCAGGTTAATGGAGTTGTGTAGCTTGATCGTGGATAGTTTTGTTAGAAAGCTCAGGAGAATATTACTCATTTGTCCTTTCGCATTGAGTTTCCAAAATAGGAAATTAGAAAAAGTACTCTAGAGATCCTATTTAGAATCATGTAATAGAATCCTATTACAAATAGGAGATTGTAATTCCATGTTCATACATGCCTCCTCTACCAGGTTAGAGTTACAATTTTGTAGCCATTGTCTGTCTGAATAACTATTGTGTACAAGGTCTCTTTTAGACTCTAGGAAGGTAGCAGACAAAATAGTAACTTTTATATAATAAAAAATAATGTTTCATAGTGTTTAGTGCAGTGAGGAAAATAAAACAAGTGAGAAGACAGTGATGAGGAGGCATTTTGTTTAGATTGTTAGGTGAAAACTCCAACAGGTGACATGGAATGAGCAGTCTGGTTCAGTGAGGGGTGTGAAAGAGTTCAGGGCAAAGGGCAGAGTAAGCACAAAACCTTGAGTTGGGAGGGGAGTCTTAAACACTGGTGTAGCAGATGTAAGTAAGAGAAAGAAGTCGGAAATGTGGCTAAATACTAGGCCAGAGGCTGGGAACACCAAGTTTTCCTTTTTCTGTGGGAATTCATTGGAAGGTTCCAAGTAGAATGGCATTAGATTTTTTTTTTTTACAGAACAAATTTATTTGTTGAAAATACAGTGAACGTGGATGGAGGTAAGTAAGCAGACTGTTGGAGGCATTCTAAAATAAGTCAGACAGATGTTGAATTGGATTATGTTGATGATAGTGAAGATACTGAATTGATTGGATTCCCAAAACATTTTAAAGGTGGTGGTAGCAACAAGCTTTGCTGCCACTTTAGATGTAAGTTGTGAGATAAAGGAAACCACAAGGCCTTTTTTATGTTGTGTTACTAGAAGAAAGGAGTTGCCACTAACAGATGTGAAAGCTTTAGGAGAGGCAGCTTGGGGTAGAAAATCAGGAATTTATTTTTAGATAGATGGTATTGGTATTGTTTGTTAAGTAGTTGAGTATATGAGTAAAAAAAATACTATACATAATAATAGAAATTACATTAGTAATAAAACACTTCCAGACCATTTAGAACATATATTAACAACAAGATTAGCACACACACACACACACTCTCCTCCTGCAAAACAGGGTTTCTCTGTGTGACAGCTCTGGCTGTCCTGGAACTAGCTTTGTAGACCAGGGTGGCCTCCAACTCTGATTCCTTCCTGCCTCTGCCTCCCGCTAGTGCCACTATTGCCCGGCTGTTATGCACTTTCTTAGGGAATAACATTCTAATGCTTTGTATTTTTAACTTGTTTCATTGTTTAATCATCAAAACTATTTCTTCAGTTTTTTTTTTCCTAGAGTTGTGTGTATATAGAGCATCCTGGAGTCCACCATGAATGGACAGTTGGACCTAAGTGGGAAGCTAATTATCAAAGCTCAACTTGGAGAAGATATCCGCCGAATTCCCATTCATAATGAAGATATTACTTATGATGAGTTAGTGTTAATGATGCAGCGAGTATTCAGAGGAAAACTTCTGAGTAATGATGAAGTTACAATAAAGTATAAGGATGAAGGTAAGAACATATTTAAGGCTAGATTTAGGTCTAAGTATTATAGTTCTATTAAGTTCTTTTACCATTATTTTCAGTGAACTATTCACCATGAGTGACCACTTTTATTTACTGTTTGCATAGTTTATACAATTCTTTTGTTCATTAAAAATGTAATTTATTATTGGAAGGTCGTGTCTGACATATTCACATGACATTTTTACAAATATTTTCTTTCACCTCCTGCTCAGATTTCCACATGTATATTCAAAGTTGAAAGGATTCTCACACTGTATTGGACGGAAAAGGATTTCTTTTTTTGTTTTGTTTTGTTTTTTGAGAGGATTTCTTTACTAACTAAATATGGGAAAGCTGGCTTAAACAGAGGCAGTTGTGTCTCTTTATTCTTTTTCTTTTCTTTTGGCAAGGTCTTAACTATGTAGTCCAAGACTGACATGGCCTCGAGGCTGTCTACGCCTGTCTAGATGAGTTTCTTTGTTGCAGGAGTTCTCAGTGTGCATTAGTGCATTATGCTGATGTGCATTGTCAGTTCGTTGTGTGCAGTGCTCTTAGACTCATTTGACCATGGATGTTTTTTACAGAGATAATTTTTGCCAGACTATTTAACTATTTAATCAGGCTTCTTTGTTAGCATTACTATTGAAATTTTCCTATTAGATGGTTACCAGTGTCAGTTGTACCTGTTACCATTATCTTCAGTCTGTTTCATCTTGGGCTTAGCATTTAGCATTGCTGCTTGTACTGTCCTTGCTGAAACAGCATCACCCTTTTACCTCTAACACTGCTTTTCCGGATTGTCTTTTCATCACTCATAGCTGCATTTCTATGACGACTGGCTTTAAGTCATGATGGTTATTGTTTTAGAGACCTTATGTTCTCAGTGGTTCAACATTCAAGAAATCAAGAAGTATTATCTCACATCCTGTGGCTTACCCTGAGCATTAGCCTCCGGCATACAGATAACAGAGTAGGAAGAGATTTTACTTGCTAGAGTTTGAGATGCTGTCCATTTGTATGCAAAGTGTGGATCAGAACCGGGTCACATGGCTTTGCTAGACTACAAATGGAAATTATTCTTCTCTTGGCACCTATTTTGTGCAACTTACATACTATAAATCAACTGGTGATCAGCAACGCTGGTCATGTGTAAATTCTTTTTGATGTATGTATGATCTGAGAGTACCCAAACCAATGTTTGAGAATCACCTTTGGCCTTTCTTTCTTGAGCAATTGCCTCCGTTTATAAATACATAGTTTCACCTCTATACCATTCAGATATATTCCTTCATTGAGTGAATTCCTTCTCTTTCTTGAATTTATAGCTCAATTTGTTTTTTAAATTGTATCTTTTTTTTTACTGACCTGGGAACCAAATCTGGGACTTCTAGGCAAGCACTTTACCAATGACCCTCACCCAATACCATGCACAACTCAGTATTTTAGTAATCATTTTAACCTGAGACCTCTACTCTTGCCTAACACTTAGCACATTGTAAATTGACCTTACGATTGACTGGCTTTCTCTTGTCTCCCTCTCATGTTGGTGAAAAGTCAGCAAACTGTGGAGGATCAGATAATAAATACTGTAGCTTTGCAGATCATAGAACACCTCTGTCATACTCATGTCATTTTTGACAGTTTAAAATATGTAAAAGACATTCATAGTTCATTATCCTGTAAAAATAGGAGTGGTTGTGTTGGTTGTAGTTTCTGGTTCCCACTTTGGGATATCTTCCTTATTGAAATCTGTCCCCCATATGCAGTTACCACATTTATTTGCCTTCCTCTATCCTTCCCTTTTTTTTGTGGTGTTTTAAAAAATCATTTAATTTACTCATATTGTTGTTTCGTAGTCCATATTGGCCACTACTTAAGATATCAACGTAGATAGCATTCCAACAGAAATACTCATTCTGTTACTGCTATTTTAAAAAAAAAAAAAGAATAAGACTGGGTATTGAAAGTTTCGCTCTTTTTGCATCCATCTGTAGATTATTTTCTTTAAGATGTATTTATGATCAAAATCCCTGAGAATTGAGTACTATATATATTTATGTATGTACAAGGATCTGCTTATAAAGATCTAAAAACAATTACAAAGTACCTAGTTTATGCCTGGATTTTGGCGTATTTGTTCTAAATAAATATGCATAACAAGCTTTAAAATTGGTATAGTAGAGTGCTTCAGGACAGAATTCATCGCCAGTATTTTGAAGACACCCTTGATTAACTCTTGTAGCTGGTTCCCCTACCTCACTTCATCCTTCCCTTAGCTTTGTGAATGCTTTTAGAACTTTCAGTTGATAGAGTAGGTGTACTGTTTGTACCCTAGATGATCTCACTCTTCAGCATGCATTATTTTATATATATTTACATAGGAACATATTTTTCTGTAGAAAATCATCTTAAGTGATCTAGAAGATTTCACTCTGGTTTACTGAAGTGGTCCCTGTTAACCGTTTTGCAGCTCTCTGTGACTAATTTATATAATCCCCCTCGTTTTGTGGTAGTGCATTTTATTAAAAGTAAGGATTTGAACCTTGAGAATCCTTGTTTTCATATTTGGTAAATCTATTTAAGTGTTTTAGAATGGAAAGATTTTTCAGTCTAATCTAGTAATTTGTAATATTGTTATACCTCTTAAGCAAAGAAATGATATGTTCGATTCATTTTCAAGACAGAGTTTCTCTGTGTAGACCAGGCTATCCTCAACTAAGAGATTTGCCTGACTCTGTCTCCCAAATCCCTAGTGATGGGATTAAAGGTGTGTACCACCACACCCTGCATAACTTTTTCTACGTTTTCTCATGATTATATGATAAATATTTATAGAATTTGTAGGCAAAGTTGATTTAGTATTTTTTTAAAAATATCTTTCTTACATGATACTTGATTCTTATGAGAGATTCTAATTGTGCTCTGTAGTTTCAATTTTTGCTTATAAGTTTTTTGTATGATCTAGTTAACTACTGTTGCAAATCTGAATTTATTTTTCTTTTTAATTTCAGATGGAGATCTTATAACAATTTTTGATAGTTCTGACCTTTCCTTTGCAATTCAGTGTAGTAGAATACTGAAACTGACATTGTTTGGTGAGTGGCAAACTTTACAATGAATTTATTTCCTGATGTATTTTTATTTGCTTTGGCTTTTTACTTTTAATGACTCAGAGTTACATAATAAAAATATTTACATTCTTGGGAGACATTGAATTACTTGAAACTATGTATTAAAGTGGTAAAAGTTTAATTCAACAAGATTATTTTGTTTTTGAAATAAGATGTAACGTAGAGATTTCTAAGGGTCTGGATTGATGACTCAGCAGTTAAGGGAGCTTGCTGTTCTTCCAGAAGACCTGATGTCTATTCCTAGCATTTGTGTTGGGCAGCTCAGTCACCTGTAATTCTAGCTCTGGGGATCTGACACCGTTTTTTGGTCTGCATGGGTACCATACCAGGAGGCATACAGATAGCATACAGACACACATACATAAAATAAATATTTAAAAGAAAATAGGTGAAATTTGGGGGCAGAGGGAGGCGGACAAACAGAAAGAGAGAGGCTGAGAGAGAGACAGAATGGGAGATACTTGAATATTAAAACCTGAACTTGGAGTATTCTTGGTAGCTATGGTGAAGTTTTTACTTTGCATTATATAAGAACTACCATTTCATGTCTTTGTGGCAGTGTAGGTCCAGGATTCTAGATCTTTCAGTAGGCCCTACTTTCAAAAAAAGAATATTGTAGAAAACAACTCTTGTCTTGATACGGGAAAAATCAAGGATACACTGGGGTGTTGGTGGTTTGGGAGTCATCCATTAAGAATTTATTACCACGGTCCTTAGGTGGACTTTGTTTAAATCTAATTTATCTGTGTAGTTTTGAGTCTTTAGAGCCTGCATATTACTCAAAAAAGGAAAAAGTACAAGAAAAGCAAAATTTTTTTAATCTCAACCTAAGTCATAGATGACCAGAGTATACTGGTGTTCCGATCCATAAGATACACAATGTAGTCCATGTAAGCCAGAAGCAGTGAACACACCTCGAAGCAAGATGGAAACTTCAGTCAGTAGAATTGATGTGTGTCAAAAGTTATTAAGAACTTAAAAGAAGGATAATTGTATAAGGAAAAGAAAGTATGAAAAAATAATTTAGTTTTAAAAACATAGCTTGATAATTTTTTAGAAATGAAAAATAAAATTAAAAGAGTGAAGTGTACATACATAATAACCCTACAGACTTAGAGAATGGGAGATGATGAGAATGAAACATACACTTTATATTAAGAATTTAAAGGGTCAAATGGAGTATAAATATATTAAAACATTGCTAAAGAAAAATTCAAGATTATATAAGATAAATGAAGCTTTAGATTCAGGAGACATATTAAGTCTTGAGGAAGAAAAAATAAAAATCCTTACTAGATGTGTTATTTAGTAATTAAATCTGGTAATAGAAATCACATGTGTCCTATGATTAAGAAAAAAATTATAGTCTGCTAAACTCCAGCAAAAGTAGAAGTGAAAACATTTTCAAAGAGATTGCTAAACCAGTAGAATTTTTAGAACTTGTTAGAATTTTTAATGTTGTCTTCAGCAAGTGGGTGAAACGCACAGATCAAACATTAATTTCAAAAAAGTAATAGATCTAGAAGTAGGAAAACAAGTACGGCAGAAATAATAAGCAATACTTTTATGTAAAGAAATGTGTGATAGGAATAAAAAATTTTAAGGACTGGTTTGGAAAGAAATTTATTGTGAACTTTAGAATGTTTTACTGAAGTATGTATATATTTTAAGAATGATTATTGAAAGTTTTGAAATGCTTCGTAAATGGGACAAAAGGTAATAAAGTGAGCATGCTGGAAGGTGAGGAGAATAAAGAAGGATACAGAGAAGTAAATAATACAAAATATGTATAAACTGATCAATGTACCAGTTAGAAGCAGTGTCGGGGCTGCAGAGATGGCTCAGTGGGTAAAGTGCTTTCCCTAGAAGCATGGGGACCCCAATTTGGAACCCCAGCACCCACAAAAAAGCCAGATGTGGTATGTTCCTGTAATCCCAACATTAAGTGGGTGGAGAAAGGCAACTTAGGGACTCTGAAGCCAGCAAGCATAACCCAAAGTGTGAACCCCAATTTTAGTAAGAGACCCTGTTCCAAAACTACAGCTAAGAGTAAGTGGTAGATGACAGCATAATCAAACTCTGGCTTCCATGCACACATACACAAAAGTAGTTTCTTACGGGAGCTAGAAATAAAAAATTTTAAAATATAATTAACTAAATGTCTGTCCTACATGAAGTTTGACAGATAAGAGGTTAAAAAGTGTGTGTGTATGCACAAGCACATGCGTGTACTCACACATGCTCATACATACTAGACAAAACACAGTCAGTTCTTAAAAGAATATACTATACAGAAACTTTATTAACAATCATTATATGTATATAACTGGTCTTATTGAACTATACATTTTTCTCTATTCCCCTCCCTTCCTCACTTCTCCCCTTCAACCCTCTCCCACAGTCCCCATACGCCCAATTTACTCAGGAGATCTTGTCTTTTTCTGCTTCCCATATAGATTACATCCATGCATATCTCTCTTAGGGGCCTCATTGTTGCCTAGGTTCTCTGGGATTGCGAATTGTTGGTTGGTGTTCTTTGCTTTATGTCTAAAAACCACTTCTTATGAGTGAGTACATATGATAGTTGTCTCTCTGGGTCTGGGTTACCTCACTCAATATAATATTTTTTAGATACACCCATTTTTCTGCAAATATCAAGATGTCATTTTTTATTTATTTATTTATTTATTTTTTTGCTGTGTAGTACTCTATTGTATAAATGTACTACATTTTCCTTATCTATTATTTGGGTTGAGGAGCATTTAGGTTATTTCCAGGTTCTGGCTATGACAAACAATGTTGCTATGAACATAGCTGAACACATGTCCTTGTGGTATGATTGAGCATCCTTTGGGTATATATACCCAAAAGTAGTATTGCTGGGTCTTGAGGAAAGTTGTTTCCTAATTTTCTGAGAAATTGCCATACTGATATCCAAAGGGATTGTACCAGTTTGCACTCCCACCAGCAATGGAGGAGTGTTCCCTTTACCCCACATCCTCTCCAACATAAGTTGTCAATCAGAAAACTTTGGAGTCTGGGGCAGGGGAATTATCCTTGAGCCTCAGGGAAACCTGTGCTACAGAGAATCAGCAGAATCAGTATGGGAGAACTCTATTTTCTCAGAAAGTGATAGTTCAAATAGGATCAATTTGGTTGTAGACAAAATCTGAAAACATCTGGTAAGAGGCTGGATCTTGAACATCTAGAAATGAGGAAGCAATACAATTAAATTTATGTTTTCCAAGTTGTGACACTATTTTGAGAGAATGGGTAATTAAATGTAATAATGTTGCCTTCCTTAAAAAAGAATCCTGATGATTATTAAGTAATTAACTTGTGGCTCTGCCTAGTACCTGTGTAAGCAGAGGGTTTGAGGGATTATGTTGATTCATAAGCTCTGCATAATTTGTTAGTGGATTACTGTTGTTTTTGAGACAAAGTCTCTGTATGTAGGCTTGACTGGCCTGAGATTCCTGTGTTAACCATGCTGGTCTTGAGCTCAAAGATTCCATCTGTCGCTTCCTCCAAGTGTTAGGATTAAACAAATGCGTCACCATACCTAACTTACTTTTGAGTGCAACTGTTTGTTTCTTAAGTCATATATAGGCAAGCTGGATAACATTTGTTAGTCATATTTTGTCCTAATACTTATGTATAGGGTACTGTGTTTTTGTATTATTCCAAGAATATAACATATTACAAAATGTAATTTGGAAGTTACAGGTAGATCCCAGGGCCTTGCTGGCCAGCCAATCTTGTCAGCTGGTGAGGAGTGGTTTGTTTAGAGAGAGACCTGTCTCCAGAAGTCATGTTAAAAAGCCATAGAGGAAAATACTCAGCACCAACTTCTGGCCTCTATGGGAACACTCACCAGCATGCAAATTCTACATGCACAGACAAGTTAGAATAAATGAAGGAAAGTAGAACTGCTTCTCGTTTCTGCTGCTTGTTTTTCTTTAGTGTGTGTTACTTTAATGACATATGTATTCTAATTTTATCTCCAAAATTTAAGCAAATTAATGATTCTGTTTTAGTTAATGGCCAACCAAGACCCCTTGAATCAAGTCAGGTGAAATACCTTCGTCGAGAACTGATAGAGCTTCGAAATAAAGTGAATCGCTTATTGGATTGCTTAGAGCCACCTGGAGAACCAGGCCCCTCTACCAGTATTCCTGAAAACGGTAAGCTCAATTTATTTTATTCTTGCTCTTGCTTCTGTACATTTCAGCATCCCACAACTGTTAGGATTACTGTGAAGCTGCATTATACTACTTCTTGGATTGGATCATAGAGCTATGGGAGGATGTTGGTGGAGTTTTCTTGTGCCAGCAGCCATTCTCAAATAACTCCTCAGTCTTAATATTAATTATAAATGCTTGGCCAATGAGTCAGGCTTGTTGTTAGCTAACTCTTACATTTAAATTAACCTGTGTTTCATGTCTACTCACTGCCATGTGGCTTGATACTTTTTCTCAGTACAGCATGCTCGTCTTCTCCCTGCGTCTCCTGATCACTCTCTGACTTTGCCTTTCTTCCTCCCAGCATCCTTAGTTTGGTTGTCCCACCTATTTTTGTTGTTGTTGTTGTTGTTGTTGTTGTTGTGAGATGTTTTATTTTTTAGGCTTTTGGAGATGCCCATCGCCAAGCTCCCAAATAAATCACATATGAAGATTTATTCTTACTTATGAATGCCCAGCTTTAGCGTGGCTTGTTTCTTGTCAGCTTTTCTAGAATTATCACGACTACCTTTTGCCTCTGGGCTTTTTCCTTTTTTTCACTTCTGTATATCTTACATTCCTTCCTATCCTGTGACTGGCTGGGTGACTGCGTTTCTGGCCCCTGATGTCCTCCTCCCCTGATCTCTTGTTGCTTGTTCCTCTTCTTCCTCGTTTCTCCTTCTGTTTCTACTCTCTACCTGCTAGCCCTGCCTATCCTTGCTCCTGCCTTGCTATTGGCTGTCTTTATTAGACCATTAGGTGTTTTAGACAGGCAAAGAATCACAGCTTTGTAGAGTTAAACAAAAGCAACACACCTTAAAATAATATTCCCCAACAATGTTTCCTGCTTCGCTACTGGCCAGTCAGTACTTTATTAGCCAATGGGAGTAATACATGTTCACAGTGTACAGAATTATTCCACAGCAGGACAGGGTCTGGACCCCATTTTTACAGCACTCTCTGGGGCTGGGGAAGTCACTGGGTGGCAGAGCACTTGCCTGACATGTGCAGTGCTCCGGATTCAGTCCCCAGTGCTGAATAAGAATGAACAGGCGCACAGGTGGGGGCATCGGCCAGTAGTGCTGCTGTGATGACTCCTTTACAACTCGTCTCAAACTTGCGTTCATACAATAATTGTTGATAGTGTGATAACTAATGAATCTTGGGAATTGAAATGATTTTATTATGATTTTTATGTCATAAAACCTAAGTTTCAAGTACAAAATAATTTTAGATTAGTACTTTAAAATAGTAATTAGAGTTTATTTTAAATACAATTTTGAAAAATATGCAAAGGAAAAACTTATATTTACTGGTGGCATGTACTATGTATAAGTAGTAAAGATAATTTAAGGCTTATTGACATATTTGGAGCTGATGTAGTTTATGCACCAAAATGTATTTTATGATATGGCTTGAAATTAAAACTATTTCATAGATTTAAAGATTTTTTTTAAAAAAATCAACTATTTTCTTCAACTTTTGTTTCTTAACTATTTCACTAAAAATGTTTTTGTAAATGATTACTCATAATTTTAAAATTTTAAAATACAAAGTGGCAACTTCTTATGAAGCCAGGCTAGCTATTTGTAAGGGTCATAAAGAGAATTTATGGAAAAGTGGCATGTTATACTCTCTCAAAGGTCTTAGACTTGGGAATTCAATAATTTTGGAATGTAGTATGAGGGCTGGCTTGTTGGGGTTTCTGTCCCTCCCAGTACCCCCAACAGCCAGCAAGCAACAAAGAAAATCACACACAAGACTCCATAAGGTTATAAACTGATTGGCTCATTAGGTCAGGCTTCTTGTTAACTCTTATAACTTATATTAACCCATTATTCTCATCTATGTTAGCCATAATGGCTCCGTACCTTTCTCTGCTGGGCAAGTTACATGCTGCCTCTTCAGTGGTCTGTACAGGAATGGCTGAGAGAGAGCTTCTGCTTCCAGAATACTCCCAGTCTCTTTGCTCCACCCCTACTTCCTGTCTGGCTTTCCCGCCTATACTGCCTGCCTGGCCAATCAGCGTTTTATTAAAATATGATTGACAGAATACCCTTAATTTCTTCATGATTCTCTAGGTCCTTGTCCCTTCTTCCTTTGAGGAGTAGACCCAGGGTCTTACATGTACTACTGAGTTAGAGACCTATCCCCTTGATTGACTTTGTATAATTTGATTAGGTTTTAAATAAGCCATTTTCTATAATTTCCTTCTTGTCTTGTTCTAGCCATATACATTAACGGTAAATGCTCATATTTGCTGATGGTTAGTAATTTCTAATCTTACCTCTTTCAGACTATGATGAAACTTACTAAAATACTTTATGATCTTGCACACTTGTGATGAAGGCTTATATGTTTCAGAGTAAATCAGTTTGCTTATTCTGAACTTTGTTCTTTTTTGTTTGTTTTTGTGTACATATTTATGTATGGATGGATGTGCATGCAGGTGCAGCATGTGTGCATGTGCATATGGAGGTCAGAAGTAACCTTGGGTGTCATTCTTTGGGTACCTTCCACCTGTTGCTTTATGACAGTCTCTAGTTGGTCTGGAACTTCACCAATTAGGCTAGTCTAGCTGGTCAGTGAACTTCCAGGAGTCTGCTTGTTTTGGCCTCCTGTCTTGCGAACAGTGGGCTTACAGGACCTGGCCAGCTTGTTACTTGAATGCTGGGGTTTCCAACTCAGGTCCTCTTCCATATATAAAGCAAGTACTATTTCCAGAGCTATCTCCCCAGCCATGAACTTTGCCTTTCTAAACTAAAAGTCCCAATTTTAAATCAAGGATCGAATAAAAACTTTTTAGACCATTCTCCCAGAAGAATTCATGCATCAGTTTACATAGCATTTATATAACCATGTCAAAGATTATAAAGGACAGACAAAATTCAATCAGTATAGCCATTATCATGTAGCAGTTGCCTAAGTGTCCTACATTCCTGTCTAAGAAATAGAACTTTGCTATATTATATTTCCTGGTGGACTTGGCTTATTTGAGAAGTAGATTAGAAGAAGTAGTAGTAGCATGAAGGGGATTATTTGCAAGGTTAGTGTGGAATGCTGCTCTTGGGATGTAATGCCTTGGGGTTTGAGGAACACATGCAGTTTAAAAGATCTTAACTTTAGGTAAGCTTTGTATCCATTTACAATATTTTCAAATTGTTTTCTTAATAGCAAGAAATAATAATTTTTTGTTAATTAAGTAAATGGTTAGAAATGATTACTCTTTTGAAGCTTTTTGTGCCACCTGGTCCCCCAGTCACTTTTAAAATAACCACCCAGAGGCTTAATATTAGTTACAAACTGTTTGACCTATTAGCTCAGGCTTATTATTAATTAGCTCTTACATTTTAATTAACCCATTTCTATTAATCTGTGTATCACCATGTGACCTGTGGCTTACCATAAGTGCTCTGACATCTTTCCCCTCAACTGCTGCTGCTGCCTCTCTCAACCCTGCCTTCTTTCTCCCTGTATTTAGCTTGTTTTTTTTTTCTCTCGTAGCTATATTCTGCGCTCCCAAAGGCCAAAGAAGCTTTATTTATGAACCAATAAAAGTAACATATTTTCAGTGTACATAAGGACATCCCACATCAGCTTTGCTTTTGGTGTCATGTTACTTAAATCCCAGGTTATTATTAATGAATATTCAGGTTATTCTCAAGTGTTTCTGTTCACAAGGTATGGAGGTTCGAATGAGAATGGCCCCCATAGGCTCACATACTTGAATGCTCGGTCACCAGTTAGTAGAACTGTTTGGTAAGGATTAGAAAGTGTGGCCTTGTTAGTGTGTCACTGTAAGTGGGCCTCGAGGTTTCAAAAGCTCTCAGCTACTGCTCTAGTGCCATGCCTCTCTACCTCCTGCTGTTGAAGATCATGCACTAATCCTCTGAAACTGTAAAAAAAAGCCCCCAGCTAAACAGTTTCTTTTTTAAGAATTGCTTTGGTCATGATGTCTGTCTTCACAGCAATAGAATAAAAGACACAAGAGCATAGTACAAATGCATCTATCAAACTAGACCTAACACTAATGAATCCAGATTCACTGTGAAGAATTACCTTAAGTTAGAATCATGTCATTTAAACTTTGACACCTTGTGTATTATTTTGAAAAACATTCTAAACACATTTTTATGTGAGTATTTTAATAAATAAGATACATAGCAAAATTGTGTTGTTTTATAGATGATAAGGAATTTTAAATGGCTTGGTTTCTATTTTAATAGTAGAGCAGTAGACAAAACATAAGAGTTGAGATCCTAAATTTAGGCAAGATTTACAAAATAAGACATTTGTTAACTCTGTTTGCTGGGTATCTTCCATATGTTTGCAGTCATTGGGATATGGGCTGTGTAAATAGCTCAGTTGGTAAAGTATTTGACGTAGTGTCTGTGTTCAGTCCCCAGAATCCGTGTTACAAAAAAAAATCAGAAAACTTCCTGATACGATGCTATGTGTTCCTAACCCAGCACTGACTGTTGCGGAGGAAACAGGCAGTTCTAGGGATCACTGACTAGCCAGGATATACAGATAGCCAATTGGTGAGTTCAGGCCGTAAGAGATTCTATCTCAAAAAGCAAGCTGGAAATGTCACTGGAGATTGTCTTCTAACTGCCACATGCATGTTCGTGAATATGCGCACACACACGCACACACACGCACACACACACACACACACGAGTTGGTGTTATAACGTTGTGATGAAACACCGTAACCAAAAGTAATTTGAGGAGGAAAGAATTTATTGGGCTTACATATCCTAAATCATAGCCCATTGATGAACTTCTAGGCAGGATACTCAAACCAAACAGGAATCTAGAAGCAGGAGCAGGTGCAGAGGCCATGGAGGAGTGCTGCTTACTGACTTGTTGCTTATAGCTTGCTCAGCCTACTTTGTTTTAGAACCCAGGACTACCAGACTTTCCTACAGGCCAATCTTAGGGAGGCAGTTTTTCAGTTGAGGCTCCCTTTTCTCAAGTTGATATAAAAATTAGCCAACTTGGACTCCAAAAAAAGTAAAATGAAAAATGATAGTGTTTGTTAAGGAGCTTTAAAATTAATAATAATGATAAGTTTTCTTTCTCCTTTTCTTTTTTTTCTTTTCTTTTGTTTTTGAAACAGTCTTGCTGTGCAGCTCAGGCTGGCTTAGAACTCTTGATCCTCCTTAATCTAGTAATTGTAAGAGGGGGAGTGGGGAGAGACAATTCTTTTTGAAAAACTGTTCTTTATCTTGTATTTCCTTTTACCCAGTTTTCCTGAAGCATACACATACATATAAAGAAAGAAAACATTCTATAGTTCTGTATTCACAGATTCTCACTCTGATATTACTGACAGTATTTATACACATGCAATTTTATGCCTTTTTGATTGTATTTGAGATAAACTTGCTTACTCCTTTATTCTTACAGATGCTGTGGATGGCAGGGAAGAGAAGCCTGCTGCTTCTGATTCTTCTGGAAAACAGTCTACTCAGGTTATGGCAGCAAGTATGTCAGCTTTTGATCCTTTGAAAAACCAAGATGAAATCAACAAAAATGTCATGTCAGCATTTGGATTAACAGATGACCAGGTTTCAGGTAGGTCAATTCTTTTTCCTATGTATCCTTATCTCCCTTCTTTTGTGGATACGGCGAAATACTACATCTTAAGGGTTAAGCCAGTTATATTTTTAAGCGTATTTAAGTTCCTAGAAAATGGGGAAATACATGATTTCAGCACCCCCTAAGAGAATTCTTTCACCCTTTCCAGTCTGTAGCACTCTTTTTCCACCTTAATGAATAACCACTGTTTGTTTTAGCTAAATTTTATTAACAGCAGTATTTTCAGATTCTTTAAAAAAAAAACAACAACAACTCAGTTTTTTAATAGGATTTAAGTTGCATTTGATAGGTTTTGCTGTCTCCTGAAATTAGGAAATTAAAATTAAACAGATTTCTGGCTAATTTCTTTATGCAAATAAGTTTTTAGTATTAAAGCAGTACTTATATTGTGATTTATTTTTCCTTTTAGTTTCTGGTTATCATTTCGTCAGCATTATTTCTGTTTTTCTTTGGGGATCTTTCTCACACATTTATTGTTAGAACACTTCATGTTTTTATTAGCTGCTTTCCTGTTTTATAAAATACGTCAGATTTTCTTGTTTCTGTCTATCTTGCTGTTTTTAGTTGTAAAGCGGGCATTTTCATTAGTGTATCTTTTTGTGCTTTTCTGATGTTTTTATTGTCTTTTTTGAGAACTTTGTGATTGCCCTTCCAGACTTAAACTACTGGGGGATAGTAACTTTTTTTTATTATTATTATTTTTAACCTTTTATTTTTCTTTCTTTGCTCCCTTGGAGTTACCTCCATTCCTGAAACAGATGAGTGGCTAAAGATTTGAGCAGAGTTTATAATTAATTATTTTGTTGCAAGTAATTACCTCTTCAGTGACAGGGAGTTTCACCTTCATTTCCAGTTCCTTGTCCAACCATGAAGTTGTTAACATGATGGTTTTCTGCCATTGAAGCTACAGAGGTCAAGTCTTAATTCTTAATTCACTGTGTTTTTCCTGGGGTAAACTCTTTTCTGGTTTCTGTGAGATTTGATTGACTAGTAGTTATTTTAAATAACTTTTCTTTGGTTTTATTAAAGTTTTTGCTACCTGGCGCAGGGTTTACCTGACTATTTACTTTGCCATTTTTAGCAGTTGGAGATAGAGAATTTATTTGGTCTGTTCATTTTAATTTTCTTGGGAACTTTTGTGAGATTATTCATTGAAGATAATTGTGTTAGATTTTAAGGAGAAAGTTGAATATGTTACCTGTTCTTGACAAAAGATAAACAAATGATACATCGGAAAAACACGTAGAGGATTGAAATAAGAACTGCAGTTCCAGCTACTTCAGATGTCAGACAGTGCTGTGTAAGAGCAGCCTTGAAACTGGAAATGAGTGTCATAGGTCAGACCAGAATATCATGGTTGTGATTTCTATTAAATTAAAGACCATTTTCATGTGGATTTGTGCACTTCGTTGTCTTCACATGGACAGCAACCAGAGTACTTTTTTAATTTTTCATGTGTGATATGGTTAGGGAGGAAACGGCTACCACGGTAATGTAGAATTGAAGAGACGTGTTAGAGAAACAGCATGAACGACAGTCGGAAGCTACATACAAAAGAGAAAAGAAGAGCCAAGCACTGAGTCTTTTTAGGATTAATAGCATAATATCTTCTAAGGGAAAGTGTGTGTGTGTGTATGTATGTGTATGCGCACATATACACAAGTAAAGTGGTGGTAAACCAGTCAGTCATACATTTTTAACCTGGTAATCAGCTTTCCCATTACTATAAAACCTAGAGTAATCTCATTAGTACATGATTGTTAAGGGACAAGTTGTTGACTGAGGTTTCTGTCCTGCCCAGTTCCCTTAGTCTTTAAGTCCCAAAGAAATCACACAGAGGTCTACATTAATTATAAACTGATTGTCCTAGTATCTGAGGCTTCTTATTAACTCTTATAGCTTGTATTAGCCCATTATTCTTGCCTGTGTTAGCCACGTGGCTTGGTACCTTTTTCGGTGAGGCAGTCACATCTCGATATCTTGCTTCCTCTATGACTGGGTCACTACTGCAGACCGAGATTTCCTCTTCCCAGATTCTCCTGTTCTCATTGCCCTGCCTTTACTTCCTGCCTGGTCTCCCTGTCCATACTTCCTGCCTGGCTACTGGTCAATCAGCATTTTTTAAAAAAAATAATAATAATACAGTGACAGGATAAGAGACCGCTGTCCCACAACAACAAACCATATGCCTAAAATGGTGGTATATTAGCTTTGTCTTGAGTGGCAAAATACCTGAGAAAATAACTTGGGGCGGTGGTTCTCAACCTGTGGGTTACAACCCCTTTTGGGGTTGCATAGCAGATACCCTGTATATCAGTATTTACATTACAATTCTTAATAGTAGCAAAATTACATTTCTGAAGTAGCAACAAAATAACTTTATGATTGGAGGTCACCATAACATGAGGAACTATTTTAAAGGGTCACAGCATTAGGAAGGTAGAAAACCACTGACTTAGGGGAAAGGAATATATTTTGGTTTTCTTGTCCCAGAAATCCCAGTTCATGATCCATTGGCTCCATTAGCTTGCTCCTGAAACAAGGCAAAGCACCACAGGGGCTGAGTGTGTATAAGAGAAGGCTGTTTACTTTTTGGTGGTCAAGAAACAAATGAACATATAAAGGGGGGCTAGAGACAAGATAGATTCTTAAAGTACCTGTTCTCAAGAACCCTCTCCCTTTTTCCCTTCTAATAGCCCACCCAACTGTCAGTTTATCAGTGGGGGTAATCCAGGTATGAGATCCAAGCACTTTTGTTTCAGACACTTCTCAAAAGTTCATCAGCCTTAGTACTTGGTCTTTGGTGACTTTCTGGATTTAAACCATTATAAATTCTGAGGACATAACACTAGAGCAGTTAGAGACTGCTTTCAGGAAATGATAGTGAGGATATAAATCAGTAAGTAAGGAGTTCAATTACTTAAGTTGCATTGCCAGAACTAATAGTGACTGCTGGTTTGGGCAGGTTACTGCAATTTAAGTAATTGAACTCCAAAAACTCTAAGTCACTCCTTTGTATTGCTAAAATGGCTTAAAGGAGTAAACCATCTGTAGTTATCTTCAGAATAATATGCTCTTTGACTGTCATAGTATTCGGGCTGTACAGAGAATCTAGATTTTCTGTATTTGCTTCTGTGTTCCTTATTCTAGCAGAATTTGATAACACGTGTTAGTAGAGTCCGAGACATTTGGAAGCAGAAAGAACCAGAGCATGACCAAAGTTCTTAAAATCTTCAGGAAACTGGAGCCTGTATAGAAAAACAAAGTAGAAATCAGTGTGGCTCATAATAAAAGCCATAGAGAAATTGACTAGGGAATAAAGTGTAAGACAATAGGCTTGTTACTAGATTTTAAAGAATGTCTTTTAAGTATGTGACTATTGTAATTAATCATAAAGAGTGGAGGAATAGTGCTAAGTAGAGGCCAAAACATTAGATATCTTATGAAACTATGAGGTGGGTTATTTTAAATAAAATAGGAACATGTGAGAAGTAAATGTTTGGATTCCTGAATATAAACAGGATGATTACATTGACTTTATAGACAGCAGAGGCCTGCTTAAGAAAGAAGCACTGTTTTCAGCTTACTGTAGATGGGAGTTTTTGATTTTGACATGGGTGGTTAGGACTCAGGAATTTTGCATTTCACACATTGTAGAGAATGATTTTCTATTTTGACTTTGGATCGTAAAGACTGAAACAAAGTAAAAATATAGAGCACATAAATTTAGTGTTTTTGGTGATGTGATTGTTGTGTAGTGATTTTATTTTTAATATTATTAACCTGTACTTTTAGCTGTGCTTGTTAGTGAAAGGCCTTGAACAGGATAATTAACTGACTTTTCATGACCGTCCAGGGCCACCCAGTGCTCCAGCAGAAGACCGCTCTGGAACTCCTGACAGTATTGCTTCTTCCTCCTCAGCAGCGCACCCGCCGGCAGTTCAACCACAGCAGCCTCCATATACAGGAGCTCAGACACAAGCAGGTCAGATTGAAGGTAAAATAGCCTTCAGAGCCCGTGTATGGGAAGGGCCATGTTCAGATGTATTTATTGAGGCATTATTGGTAATGGCAATCCCTGTACATAGGTAACCCCGTTGTCTACAATCCATATACATAGGTAACCCCGTTGTCTACAATCCATATACATAGGTAACCCTGTTGTCTACAGAAATGTAAAATAGTTCTATTGACGTGGTGTGATTTGGTGTCATAGAACCAAATAATATATTGGATATGGTTCTGACTATTGAAAATTAGAAAAAAAGGATGAAAATATTTAGGTAATATAAACACAAAGTGAAAGATGGGTGGGGTGAAATGACTTTATACTCTGCCTTCCAAAAACTATATTTTCTGTCACTTAGAAAGATTTTAAATAGAGATGATGAGGGATAATTTTAGTTTAAATTAATTTAATTTTAGATTGCTTATTTGGTTAGCAGTGCATTTTAGGTTAATTTTCTTTCTCTCCAAGTTATGTGTCTTCAATAAGTAATTTAATCTCTGGGTTGTGATTTTTTTTTTTCTTTTCACCGATCCCCCCCCAAAAAAGTGAAAATTGGACTAAACTAATAGTTTCAAAATAGCTTATTAATCATGAAATTGAAAACCTAGTATTTAAATGGACTGATTGGTATGTTTGAAGGATCTCAGATCAGCAAATGAGGAGCCTCACTGAAAAACACAGAATTCTGCAGAACATTCCTTACTGAGAAATGTGTCATTAGATAACTTTGACCTGTGTAAACACCATGGAGTGGTGGTTCTCAACCTTCCTAATGCTTTGACCCTTTAACACAGTTCCTCATGTTTTAGTGACCTCCAGTGATAAAATTATTTTGTTCCTACTTCATAACTGTAATTTTGTTACTGTTATGAATTGTAATGTAAATATCCATGTTTTCCTACTGTCTTTGGGGGTTGCAAGTTGAGAAACACTGCCTTAGAGCATCTTTATACAAACTAAGGTGGCACCAACATCACTAGATGATACAGTATAGTATATTACACAGTGAGTGACCATGTTGAAAATAATTTAAGAAAATAAAAGAACAATGTTACTCAAAAGTCAGTGCTTTTCTTCCTCTGAATAATTTGATAGCTGCTAAAAAATTAAATGACTTGTAATGAGAAAAGTGCTATGAATCTTCAGATAGGTATGGCTAACATAAGGAAATGTGAAATTACATGGCAATGTATTGGTTCCTTTTCTCTGATTACTTACCTGATGGCATATAGTTTTAAAAATGTGTTTTGTGGAGTTTATGAAGTGGTAGTCACTAGAGTAACATCAGAAAAAACCTTGCTCCCAGGTAACATTCTTAGCAGTTTACCTACTGCAGAATAAGCAGTCACTTTTCTTAAATTACTCATTCTTGTCTTCATAGACATTTAAAGTATAACGTATATATTGTATATTCTTACTCAGTGTGCTTACATATTATAATTGTGAGGAAATGTAAAGGTGCCCTACAAATATTTCTCTTCCAAGTTAAATCTTCGTTTTCTGTCTGTATTTTCTTTCATAGGTCAGATGTACCAACAATACCAGCAGCAGGCTGGCTACGGTGCACAGCAGCCTCAGGCTCCTCCTCAACAGTACGGTATTCAGTATTCAGGTGAGCAGGTGCTAAAGGGAGTTAATTTGCAGCTTTTGATCTGTTCCTATATTCACTAAATTTTAAGTTCTTTCTTATTAATACTTGATTTATAATACTTACATTGTCATAATAGGTGATAAGTACTTATTAGGGGACGCAGTACTTATTTACATTTAAATTGTTGTGTTTCATCAAATTAGCATTTAATTTTTTCAGTGAGCAAAAGTGATGTAGGTGATTCTGTAATAATCAGTAATATAAAAATGTTTTCCATTAATAATCTAATCTATTAGAGAACTTCAAATTGACAAAAAGATTTTCTTCTTTATCTGTATCACTCAATAATTCTAGGGTACTCTTAAGTATTTGTGGATATATTAACAATATAACAACACATGCAGAAGCAAAATGTCATTTTTTTTAGTGTTGTTCTTTTAAATTAAAAATAAAGTCTGTGGCACAAATTATATTAGTATAGAAGTAATAGGCTGCCAGAGCTGAAGAAACGGTGTCATCATCTGATATAGGAGATCCTTTCGTCCCTTGTTGTGCTTCAGGACTTAACCCGAGAACCCTTTTGACTTTGGCTCGCTTGGAGATGGGACTTGGGCTTTGTTATTTTAAAAGCATCACAGGTCATTGTATAGCCAGGATGAAGACCACTGATCCTGTCCTCCTCACTCAAGACATGCTGATACTGATTGAGGGAACTGGAACAGAACCTTGTTCTCTTGACTTAGAACATTTTATATTCTCCAATGTAGAGCAGAGTGATCAATATTTTAGGGGTGATTGTAGCTGTAGCTGTTTGTTTTATTGATTTTTTTAAAAAAACTATCTTGCAATTTGTGATAGTATTCACCTGACATTCATTTTGGGGAGTTTTGGGGGTGCAGCAGTGGAGACAAGTAGATGTACTAGAGAAGCACTGCTGTTATGATTGACTCAGTAGACTGCTACTGAAATGGCCTTGTTAGCGCTTACTACTGTTTCCTCTCCTGAGCAATAAAGAAGACTCCAGGTGCTTCCTGATTCAATTTAAAGAAAAAGTTTAGATTCCAGTTGCAGAGTGAAAAGACAGTTGTTTTGTTGTTTCCCCTTCAAATGGGTTAGTCATTTTCAGTATAAACTTCTTCCCCAAAATTTTACAGTAAAAAGCTACACTTGAAAATTTTTATGGGCGCTGACGAGTTGGCTCGAGTTGGGAGCACTCACCGTCTTCCAGAATAACAGAGCTTGCTTTCTGGCGTCCACGGTGATGGCAGCTTATGACCACCGAAATCACAGCAAGTCCTGTGCCCTCTTCTGGCCTCTGGGTGGGTCACACACACACAATTCTAAAAGCTTTGCATAGAAGAAAGGAGAAGTTACATGATATTTAAGATGCTTCCATAAATTATTTTAATTCAGTATTATTTTAATTCAGTATTCAGGTGTTATCATGAGTAAGATGTTTTAGAAACTTGATTCCTAAGCTTTCTCTTAGAAGTTTTAGTCAGAGTCTTCACTGAGTTAAATTTAGTGCTTTTCAAATATACTGTTATTTCTGATCCACTAGTCCTGTTCCCTTGACTTTGAGAACTATGGAAATAACCAGCTAATTTCTCTGCATGGAGACCTGTTAGTGCTGGTGGTAGTGACACTGACACTTTTGGTTTGCCAGTTTTCCCTCTGACCTTTTCCAGTTTTGTTCATGGACTATATCATAAAGGTTTCTTTCATAAGTAAATTTTGAGCCCAGGTTCAAGGTGAGTTCAGAATATACTCAAATTCATTCAATCCTTTTTTTTTCTTAAATGCAGGGTTGTACATATTTTAATAATTGTCTTATGTATCTGGTATTTAATGCTGACAGGATTCCAGTCAATGGAGAGGTTTCATTGCAAGTAGCTGCAGGTGTGTTTCATGGTAGAGAATAAAAGTTTTTCAGTGAAGCAGATTTTATTTTTAATTGTATCCTAGTAAATAATGAATATACATGTTGATTTTGTGGGCAATGTGATATGTTTTTTTGTTTGTTATGCCATACTAAGTCAAAATTTGAGTTGTAAAGGCAAAGTATCAGATGCCAAAATAAAAGATTTTTAAGAACTGTAAAAATGGTACTTAGTAATTAGGTTATTCATAGGTATTATAGTGAATACACTTCAAAACACTTCATTTATGTGGCGTATTTGTAGCAGTTTCATTTCTAAAGCCCCTGTCTCTAATGTTTTTATATAATACTGTTAAATAGGACTTCCCTCCAGCCCTGACTAGTTAGAACTTTGCTTTTATGATTTTTGTCTTCCTAGAAAGCATAATTCTTTCACTTATTATTTGAGAATCTATTGTAAGAATTATGTGCAAATGGGAATTTGCTTAAGGGTTATTTAGTTTCAAAGCACTTGTAAAAGACGTGTACAGTAACTTGAATTATAGAATATAGGATTAAAAGTTATCTGGAAAATTTTTATAACTACTTGGCCTTGATATTTTGTGCTGGACTCACTACGTAAATGCTTGTGAATACATTTATTAAATTTTTAATCATTTTTGGTCCATAGCAGTAAGACTAATTCTCTGGAAAACTTTCACCTAAAGAACCAAGACATATATGTTATTTATTTTGCTTTTTCAGCTAGTTACAGCCAGCAGACTGGACCCCAACAACCTCAGCAGTTCCAGGGATATAGCCAACAACCAACTTCCCAGGCACCGGCTCCTGCCTTTTCTGGTCAACCACAACAACTGCCTGCTCAACCACAACAGTACCAGACGAGCACTTATCCTGCACAAACGTACACTACCCAAACATCTCAACCTGCTAATTATACTGTGCCCCCTGGTGCTCAGCCTGGAATGGCTCCAAGCCAACCTGGTGCTTACCAACCCAGACCAGGTTTTACACCATCTCCTGCAGGTACCATGACCCCTCCTTCTAGTGGGCCTAACCCTTATGCACGTAACCGTCCTCCTTTTGGTCAGGGCTATACCCAACCTGGACCCGGTTATCGATAAGGAGGTTCAGCTACACTATTGATGGCTAATTGCCTCCCAAAAGACTACAATACTATTTTGTTTCAATTTGTACTGTATTGAAGTTCAAAAATTTAAAAAGCAGAGCAATTTTTATGATATCGCTGTTGCTGTTAATTGAAAATTTAATTTGCTGGAATACAAACACAAAAAGACCAAAATGAACATTGTTTCCTCCCCTGCTTAAAATTGTAGCAGCTTCCTAGTTATTTTGGAACACTATTGCGTGTAAAATGATTGGCTTTCTAGTTCCCAGAGGATATTAAAAAGCTAGGCTAAGGTTTAGCCATCACACTTGGCTATTTACTATTAACATGATGTACTAAAAGTAGAGCCCTTTGAGAAGACGACTAGACATTATGTATAAATGTAACATTGATAGGCTAATAAAGGTGATTGAATCCAATAATGGTCTTGTATTTTAATTATTTCAGACATAAGGAAACTAGTCATCTTATTGGTATATGGTCTTCAAATAAAATTTATAAAATTGATTTCCATTCAGGAAAAAAATGTATATGACATATTAGATTGACTTAGAATGTAAACACAGTAGGGGTTTGGTAGCTCTTAATGTTCTGATTTTCCTTATGCAGATAAAGGTATATTTACATATTGGCAAACTATTCAGAACATTTTAATAATCACTTTAAAAACCTACATCTTTTTATTGCAGAGTATATATTTGCTTGGAAAGTACAAAATGTAGCATTGATAAAACTGAAGTGTATAGAAAATACACCTCGAGAAAAGTCTTTTCAGGGCAGGCAATAATATTCTTGCTCCCTCCCAAAAATATGTACCCCCCTTTTCATGAAAATGAGTGAGTTTCGTTACAAGTTGAGTAAACAGTGTCACAAAGCAACCTCTGATACATTCATTCATGGCCTTAATGTATAAATATATAATATCTTCTAGAACAATTGCATCTCACATGCATTGTCTTTTCATGCTGACTGCATACACAAGAACCCCAACAAGCAGGCCCAGCCTTCTCTTGTTACATCTACATACAGTTTGAAAAGAACTATAGAACCGTTCAAAGAATGTTAAAAGGAAGAGTTTGAGAAAGTATTTTTAGATGTAATATTATGGGTGCAGAATAAAAAAAATTTTATCATTTGACATGTCAGATTATCAGCTGTTTGGTTGAGATAAAATTACATAGATTTTTCTTTTCAGTAATTTGCTGGTAGGTTATGGAGAAGTTAGCATGAATATGTAACTATTTAAACTAAAAAAATCTGTTCATCTGATGCTAACAAATTGAAGTTTACATAATTTTAAATATTGGAACCACTTTCTCTCACATATATATGCTGAAGATTATTTGATCCAGTAAGTTAAACCAAGTAGAGATTTATGGGATTAACTCACCAACAACATGTACACATTAATAAAGTAAATACTTTCTATAAAGCATATTAAAGATTTTTGACATTAATTTTGTTATAAAAGTATCTGAAAACAACGTTGTGATAAATAATATACAAATGTTCTCTTAAAATATGAATAGGGAGCCCGCTTCCCTAAAAATGTTATACTATTAATGTTAATAATATCTTGCTTTCTTAAAACATCTTTGTAAACCCGATAGTCTCAGAAATCTTTTCTAACAATGAACATCTAGTGCTGCTCTCAGTTAGCCTGCAGACTTTCGTACACAGTAAACAAACAGCTTGGAGTGGGGGTGGCAAACACCATAGGATTTCCAACCGGTTCTTTGTTTCCTTTTGTGAAAATGAACCAGAAGCACTTTGGAAACAGTTGTGCTGCAGCTACCATTTCCCAGGAATTGTGGTCCCACATTCATACCACTGGACATAATTGATTTGGGTATGACCGCCTATCCAAATCGGACAGGTTCTTGACAAACGGCTCTGAAGTAGCCTAAGGGGAAAAAGAGTTTATTTAGTGTACTAGATCTTTCATATCTTTGCCCCCACTATTCACAGATATAAGGCTGTTCAGTGTAAAGATGACTCCGAATGAGGCAAAGCAATTGAGAAAACTAGTAATTATAGAGGATCTGACACTGACCCAGAAACACAACGACCCTAGGACTTAAAAGCTTGGCATTTGTCTTAGCAAGTCAGTACTGTAAGAGTAGTTTCAGCAGCCTTTGGTGTCCATGTGTCTTGTACAGGCATCTTTTAAGAGGCTTGGTACTTTTGTGTTCATGGACAAAACGTGTTACTAAAAACCTCAAATAATTAGGTGTTTCCTGAGTGATCTGGACAATGTACACCATTCTGGTCTGCTGAGACAAGAGTTAAATTTTCAGTCCTACTTACACAGCCTGCTGCTAATATGTTTTTTAGCAATTTGCTGAGTATATTCACTTCTCAGACTTATTATAATTGTTTTTATATAGATCATTTTAAGGAAACTACTATCTTTTCCTTGTATGGTAGAAACAATTGTTAGGGGAGCAAAGAAGATGTTCAGGCATGTTCCAAATGACTGGAGCTGTGAGGGACACTGACTGGGATAACAGGAGGGCTGGAAACTTGGAAAAGATTTTAGTTTTCTCAGAATACATTTATATATCTAATTTTTCTAGAGATGAGCTTGAATTGAGAGTCAAGTTTCTTCTTCCCCTAGTGACAGAGTAGCAGTTCTGTAGCCATTTGTCAACTGATTGCTTTCCTTGCTAATCTGCAAAACCCTTTACTTGGGATGGTCAGAAAGCATACCTTCTTTGGTGGGTCAGAGGCGGGCTGTTGTCCTGTGCGGCCATCTAAAAATGAATCCACAAACTGGCAGTAATCTTGTCTATGGCCCCTCTGATCTCCTCTGTTGTAAAACTTTCCTGAAGGATCAGAAATGAAACAATGTTTTTTCTTTAGTATATGGCAATTCCATAATTGATTATTTCAAAGAATAGTTTTGCTTTCCTTTTCCCTTACTTCCCAGAGGAAAAGCCACAAGCATCTCTTGCACTAGGAAAGGTTTCTCAGCTGATGTCCTTGCTTAACTCTTACCTCCTAATGTTCTCCTTTCCCCGTCAGATCACAGAGACTTTTAAAATGCAAGTTATTATCCCCTCCACAATTCTCCCCAGCAGTCTCCTGTTATTGTCAACTTCTCCTTTACTAACTCACAGCTGAAACTACAGTATGTCTTTCCTCGGGCCTTTGCACTTTTTTTTCCTCTACCTCACCAGAGACCCTTTGTTCTAGACTTTCCTGTAGTTGATTTCTTCTCAAAATTTATTCTAAGCAGACATGATACCTTTGCACACATACCTTCCCTAAAACTGTTCAACTAAAGGAGCCTCCGTTTCTGCTGAGCCATTCTGTCTTGGGTAATTTACATATTTATTTAATGTGTCTCTCCTTCCTACAGAAGGGAAGGAGAGTTATGCTATATGAAAGCAGGAATATGGCATTTGGTACTTTGTCACCCACCAAACCCAGAATATAACCTGATGAATGAGTGAGGGACCGCAAGGTTTTTACTATATGAATATTCTAGAAAAGACATAAACATAATGCAGGGGGTTTGAGCCCCTCTGGCATTTTAAGGATGTCACATTCCTTTCATGATTAGTAGTAGGATTTTAATTCATGGGTGGTTGTGACAGTACTGAACTTTGCTGGGCAAGTGCCTGCCTAGCCATTCAAGTTGATCACGGTGTCACTGTTTTTATATTGTATTTTCATCATCTGCCTCTGAATCACAGCTCTAAAACCTTGTTTCTAAGATTGTTTTACCTATGTCTGTAACATTTTTCTGAAAGAAATTTGTATAAAGTGCTGAGTCTGAAACATCACAGAAAGGCTAGTGTATTGGAACATACCTGTGAGGAAGTTGCTTACATTGGAACATACCTGTGAGGGAGTCGCTTAAATAAATCTTGTATCTGAGAGAGTTACATAGCTGAACTCCAACAAATTTTTTTTATACCGTGTCCTTTTAACATATTGTTTGCCTCTGCATTCGAAGTAAGAGTCTGAATTAAAGGGTCTTTCGGTCCAGGTGGCGTCTCTTCCTGCTGCATGAGGAAAGCACGTGATTTGGGTTCAACGTTTAACTCTGAAGAACTAAACGCTTTACAACAGAAGCAGCCTGCAGACTTCTTTGCCCACTTCCTGAGACCTCAGTTCTTTACTGCATTAAATATTGGGGGCTGAAAATGTTTGAAAGGGTTTAACAGACTCCGATCTAAGTTTCTGTCACTAGTGAAATGAATCTCAGCAATATCTTAGGTACTACACTAGTGTCTGCAGTGCTGGCTTGTAGACACATTTGGGGCTCTTTTTTGCTACATAGTAGAAATGGGGTTTTTTTTGTTTGTTTGTTTGATGTTTTTTGTTTTTCAAGATAGGGTTTCTCAGTAGCTTTTGGAATCTGTCCTGGAACTCTCTCTGTAGACCAGGCTGGCCTCAAACTCACAGAGATCCTCCTGTCTCTGCCTCCAAAGTGCCAGGATTAAAGGTGTGCACCACTACTGCTTGGCTCAACATAGGATAAAATTTAATGTGAGCAAATTAAACAGATTTTGAGTAAACTGGTGTATGAGTTAAAGCAAATTTCAGCACCGCCCCAATGGGTTCTAAGTGTTGATATATTTAAGAGTGACCCCTCTTCTATCTCTAGATAGAAAGACGCTCCGCTCAGGTTTGCTGTGCCTTACCTAATTTGGGATGTACAGTGCTCATTGAGACGGGTACTTACCAGAAACAGGCTCGCTCACTCTTGGGTCAGCTGAGGAGAAACCACACATGGAAAAGTTGTTTACATAGTTTTAGTGTTACAGTATTATGGTGAAGAAGGTGGGTATGTGCACTTAGGTATTGTTTACATGATGTGCAATCTTGCTAAAGCCTGAATCTGAAAGTCTGTTTTGTTTTGGAAATGGTGTTGATCATCCTTCATGCACTCAGCTGCATCTTTTACACATGATTTGAGTAGACTGAGCATAGGTCGTTCTAGCTTTTTCAAAAGCCTTCTCATTTAGTTTTCTACAAAACTATTACTTGTAAAGTTAACAAGATCTGATATAGTTTAGAATTATGCAAGTTTGCACATCTAGATTTTTATTGAGAATTGAAGCTTGGACTGTGCAGATAGTTTCCTAGAACTCATAACTTTCCTTCTCTGATGTACTTGATGGACATTATTCTGGGCATGCAAGGAAACATTTGAGTACTGTATTTTGGAGTGTAGATTACAGTTTTTCATTTTAGTTTCTTTCCTGACATAAACATACATGAAGAAAAGCAGTGATATTTATAATAAGTAGATCTATTAGCTTCTTCTCAAGGGCTTCAGAATTCAAGACACTCTAGGTTTCAAACGAGCTCCTCCTATGACAACACTTGTGATTATGTCCAGTCACATCCGTGTGGACCACTACTGACGTGATTACCTGATTCAATACTGAATGCCACTGTGTTGCTGGCAGGGCCTTCACCAAGTGGATTTTTGGGGTTTTTTTTATTCTGGAATTTATAGCTGCATAAGGAGAAATAAAAATAATGATAACGTCTTTGAGGGCTTTAAGGAATGGCATTTTCTTGCAATACTACTGTTTCTTTTTTAAATCATGACAATTTCAGATTTTACTTTCTCAACATCTTGTCTAATACTTCATTTGAGAAAAACATTAATGAAAGTTAGAAATCACCAGGCAGGTTTCTCTAGGAGAGCGATGTGGTGACCACTCTCATTCCAGGATAAGGAGCCTCCCTTTGCTCCAGATGCCTCCTGCCTTCCCAGTGTTCCTCGTTGTGGTGTTGGAGTCACAACAACGAGTGGTAATGGGGCAGTTTTTTTTAAATGCACATTATTTGTCCCGCCTCCACTGCTGAAAATGAAGACAGTTACTGGAATGAGTTCTGTGACCAATGGTTCTGAGAAGTGCAAGAAAGGAGGCACATGAGAATGCCTGATACAGATCACAGGAAGCCAGGCTGTCCAGAAAATGGGCCCACTAGTATCCTGAGAGCATGAGCACAAAGCTTGAGACTGTTCTCCCTCTACTTAGTAAGTCAGGCTCCTACTGCTCAGGTCTTTTAAGAAAATGTAGAATTGCTTTGGCTCCATTCTTACTTTATGAGTGAGTCATAAAATTGTGCATAGTTGACAAATCTTTCTCACAAGCTGTATAAACTGCAAATCCCCTTGAGAAGCCCTGAGCAGGGAAGCAGTGCACATCTGTCTGAAACTGACTTCCTTCAGCAGAGGACGCAGCTGCATTTGCTCTCAGGCTGACTTGGCCTGAGTCAGCAGGTAGTGCTTTGTGATCTTTGCAAGGTTTGGGGGATAAAGGTCATCTTTAAGAAGTTTGCCACAAAGTGAGAATGCAGCTCACACAAAGTAAGTGTTTGATAAGAGAACCAGCAGGGTGGCCATGGTGCTCAGTTGGGTACAGGTGGTGCTACTAGCGAAGTGGGAGGCTCCATGGAGTGAGTTTCTTTACTGGTAGGTCACTTCTGGAGTGTAGTAGGACAGATTCCAGTGCTCACATGAGGGGAACCACTTTTTAACATCCCTACTATGTGTCATAAGTAGTCATTCTGCATTTATAAAGTAGTCTAGCACACAAACCCTATGAGGTAATTGCTCCAAGTCTCATCTCAGGCCAGTGATGTTTGTAACTATTGTAATACTTTGACTTTTCCAAACTTGAAATATTTGTGAAATAGAATTCAAACTTCCCTTTCAATTCTTAGCTACATGTAAGGTGCTATGCCATTACCATAAGAAAATGCCAGGCTGGGAGAGTGTCATGCAAGTGTGAGAACCGGTGTTCCAATCTCTGGAACCCATATCAAGCAGGGCTGGGGGTGGAGGCAATGCATCCAATCTGTAATCCCAAACTCAGTACTTCTGTAGCATGGTAGGAGGTGAAGACAATCTCCAGAGACCCACAGGCCAGTTTACATAGCCACATAGCAGGAAAGAACAAAAGCGACCTCCTGTAGTAGAAAGTTAGTCGGGTGGTGGTGGCACACGCCTTTAATTCCAGCACTCGGGAGGCAGAGGCAGGCGGATCTCTGTGAGTTGGAGGCCAGCCTGGTACAAGAGCTAGTTCCAGGACAGCCTCCAAAGCTACAGAGAAACTCTGTCTCAAAAAAAAAAAAAGTAGAAAACGAGGCCCAAGACCCAGAGCTGTCTGTCCTCTGCTCTCCACAGTGTATCATGGCATGCGCATGCGTGATCGCACAGCTATATAAACAATGCTGATCTGGACACGCCTGTGCCATTTACTTCAGTCACATATGTGGGTATTCCAAGTTTATATTCTTCCTAAGGCTGGTGCCAACAGTCCCAACGATAACAAAACCTCACAGAACTGGTGAGCTGAGTATGGGAGGCCGTGGGGGGACAGATTCACTGAGTAGGAGAGCATGTCATAGCTGTTCTCGGCCACCTGCCGTGTCCAGATCTGACCACTGGACTCCTTTCCATGTCCTTTTATTGCAGCTCCTTCCATTTGGTCTCCACTTCTAGCATGGTCACAAGTTTTCATAACTTTTTCTGAAGATTTTTTCCAATATTTTATGATACAAATTTGGAAGAAATAATTTTAAACTATGCTTAACAACATGAGGGCATGTTTTTGCTGTTTAAGCCTTATTTATATAAATAAAAAATACTGTGGTGGCAAAATCTATGTCAGAAAGCACGTTTTGTCACCTGAATGACACTATATGCATCTAAGAGTCAAGTCTCAAAGAATGACGATTATACATAAATATAGGGTGCCACCTCAAAATTTTAGCAAAGTTATTTGAATGAACATAGAAACTAAAAAAGACATTTAGAAGATGAAGTTGACAATCTACAGATAACTAGTCATAAGAGTCAGTAACAAAATAGAAAACTGGATTATTGAACACCCAACTGGCAGAAACTCTAAAATGGGGACGTTAATCCTAGAGATGGTGTGAGAAATTTCCCTGAACTTAAAGATGTTTGTTTTCAAGATTAAAAAGACCTACTCTGTGCCCAAGATATGAAAGAATTTTTAAAAAATACAAATTTTCAGAATACCAAGGTATTGTGGCAAAAAGCCCCAAAACAGAGTAAAATAATGGGCTCTATTTGAGGTACCAAAATCATAATGGTGGTTTAGCTGCACAGCAGGACTAGAAGTTACGGAAAAGTCAAAAAAAACTTTTAGAAGGGCTTCATTTTATCATAATTTTATCTTAAAATCCACATTCAACTGAACAAAAAACCCAAAAGAAACAAAGATATGTAAAGACTTATAATACTGTTTTTCATGTTTTTCCAATATTTGATTCTTAGGAAGCGGTGGCAAGACTTTGATACATTAAAAGACTTAAAAAAAAAAATCTATGAACTACCCTAATGGGAAAGGATAATGAAGGGTAAAATTAAAAAAAAAAAATCAGTTACTGGAATAAAGTGAAAGAATGGTCCCAGAAAGTATGGTCTGCAGTTCCTGAGCTAATCTGTCAGAAGCAGACCGTCCACCTGCAGGAGCTGCCCTGCAGCAGGGGTGTAGAGTAAAGCAGGAGGGATGGGTGCCTCCCTCACTCCCTCACCTCTTCTCTCTAGATTGCAGTTTTGGCATAACCTTAGAGCCGAGTTCCAGCTTTCACTGTTTAATGTACTTTTAGTTACATAGCCCCTACTGGTTAGAAAAGTTAGGTTAACAAAATTCTCAAGCCTCAAGTAAACTGCTTCTTATAAAACTTGTTATTATGCAAAAATGTGAAAAATAGTATTAAACAAAACCTCCTACTTCTGGAGAAAAATGTCAGCACTTAGCTACTGCTCCAGCACCATGTCTGCTTGCCCGCTACCATGCCCCTTGCTGTGATGGTCATGGACCTAGTCCTCTGAAGCTGTAAGTGAGCTGCAATAAAGTTGTTCTTCTGCAAGTTGCCTTGGTCTTCATTTCTCTTCATGGCAATAAAAAATTAACTATGACACTGATTAAAATGAAATCAACAAGAATTCTTTTTGTTTTTGAAGTAGTAGTTGGGATAGGTTCTCTTCAAAAGAAGAGATAGCATTTGCCCTCCATTTTGCCTCCCTTACTTCAAGTGATGGCTCCCTATCCCTACGCACATTTGAGATTACAGTCCCTTGCTACAGCAGGCTGTGGCCATGAGGCACCATCCCAGAGAGAGGAACATTTGACACGAGGTATGGAGTTAAGCCCTCTCATCAGCAAACAGTTGCTGGGTGACCCCTTAGAAAAAATTGTGCTCCTGCATGGCAGATTGACAATGACAAAGTAATTCAGAACCAGCAGGTGACAGCTGGCTGTGAAAGGAGTGTGTGGTCCAATGTTAATTAGCTTC